CAAAGGATACAAACCCAAAATTTGTCACATAACATGATTCAAGCCCCCTCCTGACATAAACATTCGTGTGGAGGAACTCCAATCTACTGATTTCATTCTTTAAATACTGTGCCTGGAAGTACCAAATAGAGCCCAATCTTGTCCTCTTTCAATGAAAGTTGCAAAAGCCCGAGATAAAATGGGGTTTTTCTGGCGATCATATCACAGTGAGGACTTGTTGAGCCAGATGCCAACTAAAATCCACCATGACCAAAATTTGTGCACAGAAATTTGCTACCCCCCATTCAGCATCTTACATTTTTTTCCTATTAAGTTTTATCCTGGTCTGTTCAAATTGTCATGATCTCTTTGCATGAAGGGCCAATTTAGTATATACTTTCTATATTTATATTCAGGTCCTTGAAAAATTCAGGATTTACCAGCCCTGTCCTTCTTGACTTTTCATCCTAACCCCTTTTGTGTCAATGGTTAACAGTTATTGTTATTTATATTATTTTTGCCCAGTAGTAGGATAAACAGGAACAAAGTTGATGAAGAAAAGAATATGAGTAAACCCTTTTCCCTGAGATACTTCTAATTTGGTTGAGGAGATGGTTCTTACAAAAAGGAAAGAAGAAAACAGCTAGCAAGGCACAATGGCATACTTCATTTGAAATAGCGCAATAATATTGATTTACAGACCAGGAAAGCCACATGCATGAACTTCAGAGACAAATCTCAAACAAGCAAATATTCTCATGCATAACAGAAGTCCTAATTACTGCAGGAATGCACAGTAGAGATCAGAGTGGTCTGAAAGAGTCAGAATAAGACGTAGAGGCAGCAAACTGATAGTTCAGGGCCAGGAATGAAAGAAAAACCACTGTTGCCTTTCAATCTCAGTTTAATTTAAGCAAAAGGTCCTAATTGCCATCCTTCTCATTCTGTGCTGGAAGAATAAAATGCATGTCCATAATATAAAATGCGTTCATCATAGCATAAATGTGCTCCATGACAACCCATGTTTCTCTAAAGAACTGACATCTAAGTAGCTTGTTGCTCTTCCTCCTCTTTGGTGAGGCTACTAGAATCCATACCTCTCCCGATTCCAACTGACATGTGTATATTGTGGGTTTTTTAAAAATATATACTTGATCGCTAGAAGTCACAACTACAAAGATGTCAGATACAATTAAGTTAATTCAGTAACATCTGTTTAAAAAATAATAACAAGCACATATTCTCATTCTTGATCTACCTTTTAATTCTGAGAAGTGGCAAAATATGTAGACGGGAACTTCCCAATCTTCCCCAAAGATTTTCAGTTTTTTCTCCAACCAGGGATGAGAGTATCACAGAACCAGAGTTGCTTGTTGTTTTTCGCTAAAACAGGGATCTTTCCAAAAACAAGCTGCACTCAGAGAAAGACTGGCGTGATCAGAGACTGCCCCCTGCCTTCCTACACAGCACATAGAGTTCAACTGCTTTGGTTTTCATTAAAAATAATCCTAAAAACTTTGAAAAGATTTCCTCTATAATGAGCCATCTGTATCTAAGATTTTTTTTCATATTCAATGACCCCACTTGAGGAACTGTAAAGGAGAAATTTGCTGTGTAAAATAATACGAAAGTTTATCTCTTCGTTTATCATGCCTCAGTGATGGACATTATGGATATGATCCTGGTTTTTTCCGGCTAAGCAAAAATATGAAATGCTGAAAATATTACCTGATACAATTGTAAAATCACCAAAAAACCCTCTATCAGAATTTCCTTTAGACTACACACACACACACACACACACACACACATATACACATACATACATATGTGGAAGGAATATCAAAATGTCTTGCATTTACGTCCTATAGTAAAAATCTCCAGGTAGAATTTTTTGTGTAGTTTCTTTTGCTCTGCAAAAAAATCTGCCTTGGAATATTTTTCCAGAACCAGGACGCTTATCAATAAATCAAGGATAGTCTAGAAACCTATAATCCTTTACGTTTGTTATAATAAGGTTTTCTGGTCAAGAGGAGAAATAGTAATGAATAAAGAAGTAGGTTTTTCCAGTGGGCTACCATTGTTCAAAAGAACGTTCCCAAAGTCTTAAAACACGAGGAACTTTTATCTACTTGGTAGCAATCTTCTTTAGATCCTTCCTGAATTTTAAATCTGGAGTTTTGGAAAGGTACATGTTTGAGATGAGGGGAATCCCCCTGGTGTAAGTTGCAAAAGCGTGTCTATATCCTTAGAAAACGGGCACGTTTTGGGGAACTGTTCCGGGGACCGCTGGGGATTTGAGTCAAAGCCGAGGATTTCACAGTAAATGGCTCCTCTTTCCAGGGAAAACTTCCATAGACCTAAGGAAGAGAAGGGAAAGCCGGAAAAAATCCTCAGCTGATTCCCCGGGACAGTTCAGGCAGGAGTTCGAGAAAACCTCTCTGGCGACCGCAGAGCGCGCCGGCATGTGCTTGCTTTGAGTTGGCTTTCCCGATCTTAAAGTGCGCCCTAAATTACTCCTTGCACTATACTCTCTCGGTTAGTGTTGCCAAAACCACCAAACCCCATCGAATCCGCTAGCGCTGGGCCAGGCCGCCACCTAGAGAACCCAAAGTGTGGTATGCACCGCCTGTGCCAGGAAAGTGGAGCTAGCGCTCCTGGCTGAACCCCGTGCCCCGAGCCCGGCTGCGTCCCCGGCTCTGGCTCAGGCTTACCGGCTCCTGACCACTCGGCGAGCGCCGCTCAAAGGCAAATTTGCCTGCCCGTGTGTACTGGAATTCGGAAGCCCAGGCGCGCTCCAGCCCACCGCCGGGTTAGCTAACTCCGTGATGCACCGGAAACCTTCCCCATCCCAGAGTGGGCTTCACCACGGGTCCTTCTCAGTACTTTTGCCTTTCTCGAGGGGCAAGAGATAACAGCCTAAACAGCGAGATAGGTAGTAGTAGTAGTAATAGTAGTAGTAGTAGTAATCGTAATAATTATTATGATTATGATTATCACACTCATCCTCATCATTGTTATTGCGATCAGCGGCTCTAAGCCAGCTCTCTAGGGAGCCCTTGAGGTCCCGGGTTTCGGTAGATGCTATCTCAGGCTCTGGGCTCAGCAGAGTCCATATTGCCTGGAGAATGTATCACAGAGATTTTTATTTACATGTTTCAAAGTAAAACTAATGTCTCAGCTTCCAACAAAATAAATAAGTCCCTCCACAAAAGCTAGAACGAAGCATCGTGTGCTCACGGGGATAGAGAAAAAGGACACTTGGGGAATTTTAAAAGATGAGTGCTTAATTATTTAAAAAGAAGACATACATTTTTCTCTTCAATATTTACAAATTACTGTTCGCTAACATAGCATTTCTCAAGATGTGAACGTTGTGCAGTCCGTGGACTTGGCAGCGCTGTCGCCGCCGCCGCCGGCGCGGCATCATACAGTAGCATTCAACAGATGCTACTGTTTAATGAAGAAAACTGCGATGGGTTTTTCCTTTGCGAAACAGAACTTGGGTGTGGACAGTATGTTCACTGCCAAATTAAAATCAGAACGCTGCAAAAGTGTGTGAATTCAGTTGGGATGGAGGGAATCCTAGGATTCCCAAAAGCCCCTATTGAAATAAACCAATACGTTCTTTTTCCAATTGGGAAACCAAGGCACAGAAAGAAGTGACTCGGAATAAGGATAGGACCCAACTCCTAGCATTGCTCCCACCTCCTTCCCCAACCCTAACTTTTGGGGCTAATGAGGTGAAAGGTCCCCAGAGCGGCCAGATGCTTCCTTCCCTCTGCACTCCCTGGAGTTCGATCCTCTTAGCTGCTGTATGGCTTCCCCTGTCGCCTGTTCCACATAATCGGCGCTCTGCGATCTGGTCTTAAGGAGTCAAACCGGGGTCTCGATCTCTTTCTTAGGTGCAGCTACCTGGGACCGGCAGGGATCCAGTCCCCACTTCTCCCGCGGCCCTCGGTATATCGCCACGGAGCCTCAGCCAAGACCGGAGACAACCCCCCCTCCCCATTTCTTCTTAGAAGGAATCTCCTTTGCCCCCCTCTCAGTGGGATCTTCTCCATCTCTAAGTTTGGTCTTGGTACCTCCTAGGTGTCTTGGCCATGGTGGCTCCGACCACCTCCCTTCTGCCGGGGCAGCCCGGACACCGCAGGCATCTGCCCGGTGGCGCCTGGGAGCCAGTGGAGAAGAGCTCTGCTTGTGGGGCTGCAGCTAGGCATCCCGTTAGTTGCCAAAAGGGAGCTTTTGCTGTTTCCTCCTTACCCTGCTGTCTTGACCATGCCAAGGCAGCCCTCCCAGCGGCTGGGCAACCAACTGGCTGTGGGCCTCAGGCTCTGGACCAGAGAAATAGGAGCAGCCCCACTTCAGAAACCCAAAGGAGCTGCCCTCCTTTAGGCAGTGTCTTTCTAAGTGTGTTTCTTGGGAGTGTCTTCCTAAGCACCTAGAGAGGGCTGTGGGGTCAAGAAGGAAACTAAGCTGTGCCCTCTTGGGGCATGAAGGCCAAGAGTCTTCCTTTCTCCCTTCACTGCATTTGAGGTTAGGGACAAAGGAGAAAGAGGGACCGAGAACCTCGGCCTTTGCTCACTAAATGTGCTTGACCTTGTGAATGCCTCAGTTGCTCCAATTGGGGAAAGGGTTTAGGAGTTGGAGCCCGGAACCTCCGAGGGAGTTTCAAAGCTTGGTAGAACTTCTGAGACTTAGGAAATGTTAAGGGTGTGTGTGTGTGTGTGTGTGTGTTTGGGAAGAGTGTTTTTTTCAATTTTTAAGGGTGCATTCTTGAGACAGATCCCCCCCCCCCGTGACCCCGGTACCCCCACCAGTATCCAGGCCTCATAAATCAAGTTAATCACCACCGCCACCACCACCACCATGGGGTCTCGCGCCCCCTGCCAGCAGGCTCCAGATGCACTAAGAAACGGCCCAAACAGGCCGGGGGCAGTGTAACGTTGAGCGCTGATTGGTCGCTCTTGGCTCCACCCCTCCTCCGATTTTGGCCCAAGAGAGCGGTGCAGCATCGCCAGCGCGGGGTAGGCGCTCTGGTGCTCGCCGAGGAAGCTCACAGCCTACGGCGCACCAATCTTTCTGATCCTGCCTTTGGAGCAGCTAGATTGCCAACCTTGGCTGCTCCATCGGCCTGCCGCCCCTTACCTGCGATTGCATATGAACTTTTCTTCCTTCTTGCACACCGTTGTCGTCGGAGTCGTCGAGATCGTCGTGGCGCTCGCGTGATGGCCTTCGTCCGTTTAGAGTAGTGTAGTTAGTTAGGGGCCATCGAAGAAGAAAGAAGACGCGAATAGTGCAGAGATGCTGGAGGTGGTCAGTTACTAAGCTAGAGTAAGATAGTGGAGCAAAACCAGCCAAACCTGTCCGGGGGCGCACGGTCGCCCAGAGGAGGTCGACTCGCCGGTGCTTACTATCGCGCCGAGCTCCCTCCGTCCCTCCCTCCGCCGAGGCGCGAGATTGCGGCGCGCAGCGCAGCGCAGCGCACTGACTGCCGCGGGCTCCGCTGGGCGATTGCAGCCGGGTCCGTTTTTCGTCTAGCTGCCGCCGCGGCGACCGTTGCCTTGTCTTCCTCCCGGACGCTTGTGGTAAGTTGGAGCCCCGAGCTGCATCGGTAGCCGAGACCCTAACGGTTTAGGCGGGGGATGGGGTGGGGAGCGGGGACAGGTCCCGGATGGTTGCAGCTTGCAGAACTGCGCTGGTCCGAGCGGGAGGTGGGGAGCGGGGGGTAGGGAAGGACTCTGAACGCACAGCTCACGGACACTGGGGTCTCTGGGAGGAGAGAGGTTATTAGTTCCACGGGAGGGGCACTGAAACGTCAAAGGAGGTTGGGAAGCGGGGACTGGAGATGAAGGCGCTGGGCGGATGGCGGGGAGTGGGGAGGTGGTCTCGAGAATCCAGCGCCCTGATTGCTGAGAGAGAAACAGGAGGCGAGCGTGGGGGTCTCAAGAAATGAAGGGCGGGGGGAGAGTGAACGTGGGTGTCTCTGGGCAGAGGTTCTGGCTGCGGAAGGTGCAACTGAATTGGGGATACGGGCTACGTTTTTAAGAAATCCGATTTCAGGAAGGTTGGAGGGGGACACAAGGCTTGGAATCGTGGGAGCAAAATGGGGCGAAGGATCCTCTATGATGTTCTCATTAAAAACCGACCCCAGTTTTCGGAGGGTCTGAGTGAACACGGGTAACTCTGGGGAGATGAACACTGCGGATCTGTGTCTGGGTCTAACAGCTGTGGGCTGAATTTGAACAGCGCTGCTGATGGTCACGTAAGTTTAAGAGGAGAGTATAAGGGCATTCAGCAAGCCTTTTTATTAGTTTACCTAAGTCACTATATTTTGAAGAGGATTGCGGAAGTCTCCAGTGCTGCCTCTTATTCTGGTTCATTAACTCAGTTTAACCTGACCAGCAGTCTTACAGTGTACCTCGGAATTGCTAAGTGTGAGAACAGGTTGCTGTTCCTGAAGCCACATAAAGTTCGTCATTGCAAAACGTGTCCCTGTGTCTGTTTCTTTTTTCTTTTCTTTTCTTTTTTTTTTTTTTTTTTTTTTTTTTGCGCCGTGGCCCTTGCCTTTTGCTTCCGGTTGGGTAGTATGCGACCTGAGGCGACCAACATGTTGTATTGTGTTCAAGACCCCTTTATTTTAAGCAACGGCATTCCTCCACTCAGATTCAGCGGGCGACATTTGACTCTTAGAGAATATCTAATTTGGTCGAGAATCATTGCCAGTACCGCTCAGCTTCTTCATTAATATTTACCATCGCAAGTCCCATCCAAGGAAACCTCTGGCTGCTGAGCCACTAAGTGCATATGCCCCTCACCACATACCTTTCAGGCAGGCTAACGGAGGGAACCTTGCTCTAGGGGGAATAGCACTTAGCTAAAATGATTGGGGTTGGGGAAGACGCTGTGCAGTGAGTAACCACTGAGCTCCCCAGTTTGCAGACATTTGTGACCTCACACGCAGTGGTGCAAAAGGACATCTGGGTTCTAGAGTTTCAATGTTAAAGAAGTTTATCCACAGATCAGCCATTCTGACAATCAAAACATGAACACGGTAGAAACAAGGTGTTACTGTAGTTGACCACGTATGTGTAGACACAATGAAAAGGGCCAACTGACATGCCCCACAGGGGCGAAAAAGAAGATATCTACCATAATCATTGTGGGTTTTGGGGGGGTTTTTTTGGGCAGTATTTAAGTCACCTTGAACATCATCCTTTAGGAAGAGTATAATTTTTTTGCACCCTGATACCTTGATCTTTGAGAGGCATCTCCACCCTTCCCCCCACACACCTCACCCCTGCCACGGGTGGGGGTAATTAAAGTTTTTTTTCTGTATTTTGGGAAAGTGGGTTGTAGAATATATAATTAATTTTTTTTATTCCTTAAATATGTTCTAACCCTCTGGGGGAGGAAGTAAAAATACTTATTTATTTCATCCATGCAATTTCTTCCCTACTAGCTATTATCATCTACAGCAACAAGCCCAAGGTAAGTCCTGAAATTCCGAAGTTGGATAAGGCTTGTGATTGCAATTTCAAGGTAGGATCTGGGGTGCTTCAGTCAACAATGGCAGTGTTTTTCTATCTGCATAATCTAGAGAAGGTTATTAACCCTTCCTATGCTTTCCTGAGGGATCTATAGAGCTGTCATGGATGAGGATGATGATATTTTCAGATAATAACATGACAGGCTTTGGTGCAGTATGAATTCATGGGAAGAGGTGAGAGCTGACATTTTTGCGAACCTGCTGGATGCCACGCACAGAGCCAGAAGCATTACATATATTACATTTCACATGGTTTTCATAACAAGACCTACGATGAGTTAGATATTCTCCTTTTATTGGTAACGTTGGATTTTTTTTCCTTCCATCTCTCAAGGTATTCTTACAGATTAGCTTACGGCAATGGAATAAAAAATATTTTCTTTGTGCTTTCAAGGCTACCTGGGGAAAATATGTTTATTTCTTTAACAATACAAGTAAAATCTTAAAAACCTAGCATCTCTGATACAATGTTGGACTGATCCACCAAAGGTTTAAGCAAACATGGGCATCTCACCCCCCAGAGGTTTACAGGCAGTGAATTTTTCCTCTGAAAAATAAATTATAAAATCATGAGAGATGTGCAGGATTACCACTACCATTTGTAATTTAATTATTTAGGAATATTTCTGCATTTAGCTGGTGAATACCTAAATCTGAATAACGATCTGAAGCCAGCAAGAATTCTGTTATTTTACTATCCCATTTATTTCCTTCAAGTCAAAGTTATTTCTCTCTACTCAAGGGAAACACAAAAATTAAAACAAAATTTGAGAGAGAGATTGTCCAAAACTAACATCAAGTATCTTCAGCTACTCTTAATCAATTGCTGAAGTTCTGAGATGGAAGAAGGTGGTCGCTTTCTGAGCCTCCAGGCAAATAAGTCCCAGGTTAACATGTCTCCAGAAGCTTCCGGCTATTTGGCATTATCATCAAAGAACCTCTTACCACTCAATTCTTATAGCAATGGAATATCTCACAGAATAAGAATCTATAGTGCTTGTATTGAGATTATTTTAGTAGCGCATCTGGTAAAGATTAGCATTGACTAGTGGAAGAAATCATAAATTAGTATCACTAACAGCGTGGATAGCCATGAGCAAACCAGGAAAGCCTGACTGTAAGTTGGAGTTAATAACATATATTATTGTAATGTAAGAACATATGTTAGTATGTTATACATTAATGTAATAATATATTAATTTTATATGCTTATTGTGAAGCACATGGATATTAAGTATTTAAAATTTTTAAGTTATTGGACAAAGCTGTGTTTGTTTATTATTATCATTTATTTGTCACTGCTCCAGTATACCTATGTTATTTTATCTACAACTTGTATACTCTGGAGTCTCAGAAACCTCCAATCACCAGCTCAATGAGTGTTCCATCAATTGATCCATCCATCAGGGGCTTTCTTCAAAATATACTGACAATGTGGCAGCAAAACAGCCTCGTGATCTCCATTTTATTTATTTTTATTATTTTTATTTTTTTAAGATTTTATTTATTTATTTGACAGAGATCACAAGTAGACAGAAAGGCAGGCAGAGAGAGAGGGGGAAGCAGGCTCCCTGATGAACAGAGAGCCTGATGCGGGGCTCCATCCCAGGACCCTGAGATCATGACACAAGCTGAAGGCAGCGGCTTAACCCACTGAGCCACCCAGGCACCCGTGATCTCCATTTTAAACGAGGAACATTGAAACCCACCAAGAGGTTAAGCTGCACTATTATTTAGCCAGTCACTAGCAGATTGAATCTAATGGTCACACACAACAACTCTTCGGCAGTCATTTCTGACATTTTATACATAAATGATGGAGTAAAAGCAGGAGTTCAAATAAGATGCACACGAGCAGGAATCTCAATTATGGTGTTTTTTTTTTTTTTTCCCCTCCCTGTACCCAGCATCTCAACTTCATCCCATCTAATCCTTCCTCCTCTCAGCTGTGTTTAAGACTGTGCCATCTGCAGTTTACTAAGATACTTGTTTATTACAATGTTGTATATATAGTTGGCATTTCGTAAAGTCAATTTTCTTCATTAGCGTTAACTTTGTTCACAGAGGAGCAGTTACGTGCTTGAATTTGAGAAGCATTAATTAATTAATTATTAACTAATTAATTTGGCCCCCAAATTAGTAGCTTTCATGGTTTGCAGCAGCACTTAAAATTCTACATTGAGGAGTTTCCGGTTTCAGTCACTGTCTCCTTTAAATACAAACATCCTCTTAGAGGGGTAACTTACTTTTGTCATTACCTATTAATAACTAAGCATAAATCAATTGACAGCTGTCAACAGCCTTTAGAACCACATACTACATACTTACATACACATAATGGCTATTGAAATTTAAATTAATTGAAATTAAGTAAAATTATAAATTCAGTCCCTCGGTCTCACAGACCACATTTTAGCTACTCAGCAAGAACAAGTGGCTAGTGACTACCTATTGGACAGTGCAGATACAGACTATCTCCATCATTGCAGAAAGTTCTTTTGGAAAGGAAGGATCCTAGGCTTTTTCACTGAACACTTCCTCCACCTCCTTGCTATAACCAAAATCTGGAATTTTCCTGCTTGGATTACTCCCATAGAAGCTTGCCTGCTTCCTAACAGATCCCTCAAGTGCAGATGGATTAATTCTTATCCTCTGCTTCTCCCCACTTATGAGTCTTATTACTCTTCCAAATGGAAGTACTTAACTCTGTAGGTGAATCTCTCCCAGTTCTTTTTTTTTTTTTTTAACTTCCAGCATACTAGAACCAGTCTCTTCTACTTTTATTTAAATGATGTTTTATTGATGCTTACAGCATTTCAGCATTTCTTTCTTGTCTTTGCTGTCTACAGCCTCACTGAAATTTTTGGCATCTGGTTCTTCTTATTGTCCATTTTTAATCTTGCCATTTTCTAGAGACTTCATTATTTATGATGATTGCCGAATAATAGTCAAGCCTCATAATTCCTTGACCTCTTTTTTTCCATTGTCCTCAGCCCCGTGGACACCCCGAAATACGTCACTTTCTAAACTTTTAAGTTC